TGAAGGTTGAAGTCAATAGGCTCATTGAAGGTTCTGCAACATAGGTAACGATGGCACCAGGAATGTTGGAGGATGTAAAAAGCTCAGTCATGATGAATGAGATAATATTGGCAGCAAGGCATGTGAGGCGAAAGGGAGAAGGGAGGATGAATTATATAGGGAAGACAGAATAGCAAGAGTTGCAACTAAGTTTTTGGGAATCACAATTCATGGAAAAACTAAACATCACATGCATGAACTAACAATTATTAGGAAAACAAGACAGGCATAAATGAAGCACTTATTGAACCAGCATAAAAAAGTACAGAAGTAAAGGAAGAACAAAACCTGGTTTAGTGACTGTCTTGAATGGAGTGAAGTGACTGCAGACCAAGTTCATCACAAAGTCGTATGAATCGTTCAGAAGAAAGCGCCTTGGTGAAAATATCCGCAATTTGAAACTCGGTGGAGATGAAGTTTAATTCTATATGACCAGCTTGAATTATATCTATGATAAAGTGGTGTTTGACCTCAATATGTTTGGTTCTACTGTGATGAATAGGGTTTTTAGACATACATATTGCGCTAGTGTTATCACAGAAAACTGGAATTTGTTCAAACTTAAGACCATAGTCAAGGAGTTGGGATTTTAACCAAAGAATTTGAGTGCAGCAACTCCCTGCAACAACATATTCAGCCTCTGCGGTTAATAAGGCCACAGATCCTTGTTTTTTACTTGACCAGGACACAAGAGAGCGACCAAAGAATTGACAAGTACCACTGGTACTTTTTCTATTAGTAATGCTCCTAGCAAAATCAGAGTAAGAATATCCAACCAGAGATGAAGAATCAGACCTAGGATACCACAGACCAAGATCACATGTACCCTTTAAGTATCTAAATATTCTTTTGAAGGCAGTCAAGTGACTTTCTTTTGGTTGATGTTGAAATCTGGCATACAGGCAGACACTGAACTGAATGTCAGGTCTACTGGCTGTTAGATAAAGTAATGACCCTATCATGCCTCTATACTTTCTTTCACAAACAGGTTGCCCATCTACATCATAATCTAGATGAGTATTTGAAGCTATGGGGGGTTTTGCAAGGATTGACATTAATTAAATCACATTTGGAAAACATAGATTGAAGATACTTAGTCTGATGGATAAAGATGCCTAAGTCAGTTTGATGAATTTGCAGACCAAGGAAGAAATTTAATTCTCCCATGAGACTCATTTCAAATTTACTTTTCATGGTAGAGCAGAATTCAGCACACATGTCTGAGTTAGTGCTTCCAAAGACTATATCATCCACATACACTTGAACAATCAAGGAGTGTTTATTCTTTCGTTTAATGAAAAGTGTTTTGTCAACCCCACCTTGACAGAATCCTTGTGAAATCAGAAAAGAAGTTAATTTTTCATACCAAGCTCTGGGAGCTTGTTTAAGACCATATAGAGCTTTAGACAATTTGTAAACATGATCAGGAAATTCAAAGTCTGTAAATCTAGGAGGCTGTTCAGCATATACATCCTCCTTGATTTCACCATTTAAGAAAGCGCTTTTGATATCCATTTGAAAAGGTTTGAAATTCATATAGCTAGCATAGGCACAGAGAAGGCGAATTGATTCTAAGCGAGCTCCAGGGGAAAAGGTTTCATCATAGTCTATGCCCTCCTCCTGATTGTATCCTTGGGTAACTAGACGAGCTTTATTTTTAATAATGCAGCCAAGTTCATCAGACTTATTTCTGAAAATCCACATAGTACCAATAGTAGTGATGTTAATAGGTCGAGGAAAAAGTTTCCAAACATTTAATCTAATAAAGTGAGACAGTTCTTCTTGCATATCTAACAACCATTCTTCATCAAGTATAGCTTCTTTGTAGTTTTAGGTTCATGAATGGAGACAAAGGCGTACTGACCTGGGATGTGCTTACCTCTGGTATGGATAGGATCAGTGAGTTTACCTATGATCTGTGAAGGAGGATGCCCTTTTCTATGTGAGCAGGGGCTTCCTGATTTCCAATGTGATTCTCATCTTGCGATGCAGAATCAGTTGCTGATGGAAATTCTTATGGGTTTGAATTAGCATCATGTGATTCCTCACAATTAGTAGTAACCCCTGTCTCAAAATAAGAACTAAGAGGCAGAAAATCATAATTGTTAATATCAGAGTGCAATGGAAGGGAAGGATGAGATGAGTCAAATCGAATGTGCACTAATTCTTCAACTTTTCTAGAACTTTTATTGAAGACCCTGTAAGCTTGGCCTTTAGATGAGTATCCAAGAAAAGTACCAATATCAGACATAGCATCGAATTTTCCAATTGAGTCTTTGGTGTTTAATATGAAGCATTTGGATCCAAAAGGATGAAAGTAAGAGAGCTTAGGGGTCTTTCCTTTCAGGATCTCGTAAGGAGTTTTGTTAACTGACTTATTGATAGTGGTACGATTTATGACATAACAAGCAGTGTTAACAGCTTCTCCCCAGAGAAACTTGGGACAATCAAATTCTAAAAGCATCGTTCGAGCTGTTTCAATGAGTGACCTATTTTTCCTCTCCACAACACCATTTTGTTGTGGAGTTCTAGGTGCTGAAAAAGTGTGAAGAATCTCTAGCTCATCACAGAAGTTGCGGAATTCATCGTTGATGAATGCACCATCATTATCGCTCCTAATGGATTTAACAGGACAATCATATTGTTTTTGCATAAGGACAATAAAGGACTTAAATTTAGAGAATGCTTTATCTTTGGATGAGAGAAAGTACACCCAAGTGAACCTAGAGAAATCATCAACAATGACCAACACATAAGATTTTCCACCAAGACTTTGGACATTGGTGGGACCAAAAAGATCCATATGTAACAGTTCAAATGATGAAGATGTGGTTACATTTAGCTTACTATTGAAAGACTTGTTGCAATGCTTTCCTAGAATGCAAGCTTCACATGTGAATTTATCTTATGCTTTGATGAGGGGCAGTCCTCTAACTAGGTTAAGTTTAGACAGTTTGGCAAGGCGAGACATACTCATATGAACTAGTTTTTATGCCAACTGATTACAGTATCTGACATAGAACTAAGACATATATCCTCATAGAGATCCAAGGTGGATAGATCAACAATATATACATTATTGATTTTCTTACCTTTAAAGATTATAGTATTATCATAGATGCGTTCAATAATGCAGCAGAATGGATCAAATATGACACGGTATGTAGATCCACAAATCTGACTAATGGAAAGGATATTGTGTTTTAAACCATCAACATATAGAACATCTTCAATAATAAGAGAGGAATGCTGTTAATTGTTCCCTTACCAACTACTGAAGCACAGTTATTGTTACTATAAAATACTTTACCTCCTCTTTTTGGATTTGACTAAGAAAAAAGATCTTTGCTACCCGTCATGTGGTGTGAGCATCCATAATCTAAGTACCAAATGTTAGCACCTTTATTATTCTTTTCAACAGCATGATCATCTTCCAAGTTGGAGTTCATTCCCATGTATTCAACAACTTCAGACTTATCTTCTGAGCTGTAGTCACTCCAGGATGTTGTCATTGCCTTTTCTTTCTTTTTGTTCAGTGGACAATTGGCCCTTGTATGACCTGTTTTACCAAATTTGAAACAAATTGTTGAGTCGGATTTATCATTTGAGTTCTTGTTGTCTTTGGGACCAGAGTCAGATCTGTTGGAGCCAAATGAGTTTTTATCATTTGATCCACTAGAGTGATGTCCAGATGATCTGGGTGAGTAGTTATTGTTCTAACTTCCCCTTCTTACATTTTGATCATGTTTAAACTTCATCATTCTTTGAAGTTTTTTGCTGGTTAGAGCGAGTTCGTTTTCAAACTCTTCATCTAGTTTTTCTACTTCGTCAGCACACACAGACTTAAAGGCAATAGATTTGTTCTTCTTATCCTGGAGGGAGTTCATTTGTTTGAGAACTTCCTCATGGCTAAGAAGAAATCCAATTAGGTTTTCAAAAGACAAAACATTTAGATCCTTAGCTTCCTCAATGACAGTTCTTTTAGCCATCCACTCAAGAGGAAGAGATCTAAGCACTTTTCTAACAAGCTCTTTGCTTGTGAAATTTTTTCCTAGTCCTTTTAGTCGATTGACCAGGGTGTAAAATCTCTTATCCATTTCTAAAATAGATTCACCAGATATCATATCAAATGTTTCATATTGTTTTAGCAGCAATTCTATTCTGGTTTCCTTAAATTCTGATGTTCCTTCATGAGTAGTTTCAAGAATTGACCAAATTTCTTTAGCAATTTCACATTTGTTTACTCTTTCACCTTCATCTTCAGATATTGCTGATAGCAAAATATGCATAGTCCTAGATTCTAGTTGAGCATTATTCTTTTTTTCATCAGACCAATCCTCGTCATCGTCTTCCTTCATGTCAATTGGTCCATTTTGGACAATTGCTCACAATTCACAATTGATTCCTCGGAGGAAAAGACACATTCTTTTTTTCCATACTGAATAATTTGAACCTGAAAACCAGGGAGGATTTGAACTAGTGGGGAATGAATTTGAAGACATAGCAAGGCAGAGGATCTCCTTCTCGGCAACACTTAGTTCTACGAAAAGGAGGCTCTGATACCAATTGTTAAAGGTTATGCCTAACTTCATTCCCTCAAGGAGATGCAATCAAAAGATTGTTTATTTAATTTCACGAGTCAAAACGAAGTTCAACGTTATCAGAAACAGAAGGGACTCAATTTCACCTAACAATTCAAGACATGAATTCCATTAACTGAAAGAAAACCCTAATTGAAAAGGAACACGAATTAGGAAGAAGACTAGAACAGAAGAGGAGCATAGATAAGCTCGAGTTCCTGGCAGCAAGCCCCAACTCAAGCTATGTAGACACTTAATCCAAACCCAATCCAAAGACTCCCAAAGAACTGATCAATTCTTACTGAGTCAAGGAAACTGTTGAGTCTTCTTTTTCCAGGAGAGGTCTTTATATAGAATCAGCCGCGCCATTCGTTCGTCTCTTTCATCTTCAATGTAGTTTATCGTTTGATTGAAATAATGATGGAGAGAGCTGATGCACAAGAGACTCGCAGGAAGCTATGATTGTTTGATGATGATGAAACCAAGGAATGAAGGTGAAGATGCGAACAGGGGTCTTGACGAGGATAGAGAAGATGCAACTGCGTCAGGTGGGCTTTTGGACGAGTGGGCCTTTTGGTTCTAGGAAGGGAGACGAGGCAAGGCCCAACAATCGGGATGTGGCAGCATCTTGCTAATCTTTACTCGAAGCCCAGTGCTTCTCGTAAATTTGATTTGGAGTGTGATCTGGGTCGTCTGACCCAGGGTGATTCTGACATCAGCTCATAATATCAGGTTGCGGTTACTCTCTGGACTGAGCATGATCATTTGATGAGCTCTATGTTGACTGGTGCTGCATCGACTGACGCCATTCGTTAGCGTCAAAGCATTCTTAATGCATCTGCGGCCCGAGTTTGAAGGGATTTGAGCTTCTCTTCTGCATCGTATTGTGGAGACTATGGATGAGATTCTTGGGGAGCTTCTTCGTGAGGAAACTCGTCTTAAGAGTCAGGCTAAGTTGGATATTCATGCTAGTGATTCTCATTCTGCCTTTGCTGTTCAGGGAGGGAAACCTCAATTTCATCGTACTACAAAGGGTGAGATCCTCTGTCACTATTGCAAAAAACCTGGTCATATTCAGTAGCACTGTAAGAAGAGGAATGTGTGTAATTAATGTAAGCAGGAGGGGATTGCCGACTTCCCTAACAAAAAAAATATGTGTAACTACTGCAAGCAGGAAGGCCACGTGATTGCTGATTGTCCCATGTTTGCTCGTTGTGTCCGTGGCAAGCCGGGTGGCTCGCGTGGAGGTCCTGGTTCTGGCTCTGCTTATGCCACAATTGCAATAGAGTCTACAGAGTCCTCTTCTCTTACGTTTGCTGATGTACGTCGTTTGGTTCAGGATGCGTTGAAGGAGGCCTTGCCCAATGCCTTGACATCTGCGTTTGCCATGGGTAAGGATTCTTCTTCTGGTTCTTGTCATGTTGATTCAGCCACATATAATCATATGACTAGTTCTCATAGTGCTTTTCGATCACTTGATATGTCGGTCTCATGTCTTGGGTTACAAGCTGCCAATGGGTCCATTATGTCAATTGTTGTTGTGGGTCATGTTGCTCAGCCTCATATGTCTCTCCCGAATACTTTATATGTTCCCAAACTCGCTCCCAATCTTGTTTCATTGGGTCAACTTGCCGATGGTGGTTGTCCGGTTATCTTTGACAATACTGGGTGTATTTTGCAGGACACGAGGACGGGGAAGAAAATCAGGTGAGACAGTAAGAAGGGTCGATCGTTCCTGCTGGATTCTTACTCTGGATCGGGCAGGTTGATGTTCGTGCATGGGCAAAGTCGGGCAAGGAGGAATTGATGGATGCCAGGAGTTCTTTTGATGTTAGTAGTGATAGTTTGGTTTATCCAGTGAAGTTATCTGACTGGGATTTATGGCATTTTCGATTGGGACATCCCAATTCTGTGAGACTTTGTACTATGTTTCAGAATAAATGGTTATCTGGTACTGTTTTGGCTAATCATATTCATGAATGCGTTCATTGTTTGCAAGCTAAGATGATGCAAAATTCATTTACTTCGAGCACTACTATTTGTTCTGAACCATTTGATCTGGTCAACACGGATTTGTGGGGTCCGTCTCCTATTCTTTCTCGTCTGGGTTACCGATACTTCGCTCTGTTTGTGGATCATGCCACACGGTTTACATGGGTTTTCTTTCTACGCCATAAATCCGAGTTGTTTTCGATTGCCCATGATTTTTTAGCCATGGTTAAAACACAATTCGATCGGACAGTCAAGGTGTTGCGTTCTGGTCTTGGAGGAGAGTACACAACCAACCCATTACAAACTTTGTTACGTGAACGCAACATCATTTTTCAGCACTCTTGTTCGGGTAAATCACAGCAGAACGATTTGGTTGAATGTAAAAATCGGCATGTTTTGGAGTTAACTCAAGCTATCTTGTTTCACTCACTAGTTCCCTTGAATTTTTGGGTTAAAGCTGTTCATACTACAGTATATTTTATTAATTGCCAGATCACTCCAATTTGAAACAGCGAAATCCTTATCAGGCGTTATATTCTAGGATACCGAACTATGGTTGGCTGCGTGTTTTTGGGTGTGTATGCTATGTTCTTCTTACTCGTCGGGAGCGGAACAAGCTTACTCCGAAATCTATTAAATGTTTTTTCCTTGGTTATTCAGATACACAGAAGGTTTATGTTTGTTATGATGTTGATGCACGTCGCGTTAGGGTGTCTTGCCATGTGGTATTCATTGAACACATGCTGTACTTTGTCTCTCCTAGTTCGGCAGACTCCACTCCACCGGATTTGGAATTCTTGAAGCTACCAGAGCTGTCACCTCCACCTACAGCAGACGAGCCATAGCCCAGTGTCTCGCCTCCTACTTCTTCTATGGACTCGTCCGATTCCTCCCCGTCGAGTGGTTCTTCTGCTGACAGCTTATCACCGTCCTCGCACTCGTCTCCTGGTCCTACTTTGGCGTCTACTTCATCTAGCACGAGTAGCAGTCTGGACTCTCCTCCTGGTAGTGCTGCTTCCACCGACGTCAAGTGTTCCTCTTCATCCCACAAAAGACGGAATATCCCAGTTGCGTCGGTCAAATCGCGCGAATAAAGGTCAGCCGCCACCTCGACACTGAGATTTCATCACATTTTCCATGCCGGCTGTCTTTGTTCCCGCAACATATAAACAGGCCAAGGGACATGCAGAGTGGGATAATGCCATGCAAGTTGAGACTGACGCTCTTGAAGCCGCACATACATGGGATTTAGTTCCCCGATCTCCGAAGTATTCGGTTATTGGCTGTCGATGGGTGTTTACCATTAAGATGAATCCCGATGGTACGGTGGAAAGATCCAAAGCTCGGTTAGTAGCGGAGGGGTTTTGTCAGGAGTATGGTATTGACTATGCCGGGACCTTTGCGCCCGTTGCAAAGATGCAGACAGTTCGGAGTCTCTTAGCAGTTGCAACTATGAAGAATTGGCCATTGGTTCAGCTCGACGTGAAGAATGCTTTTCTTCATAGTGATCTCAAGGAGGTTATCTACATTAAACTGCCACCTGGTTATTCAAAGGGTGATAGTTCTATGGTGTGTAGGCTACGTAGATCGTTATATGGACTAAAGCAGGCTCCTCAGACATGGTTTGAAAAATTTCATGACACTGTTATTCAGGTAGGTTTTGTGCAAAGTACCAGTGATCCATCTCTCGTTCTGCGTACTTCAGCTCGAGGACTCACGATTCTTTTGATTTACATTGATGATAGGGTGATTAGTGGGGATGATGCCGAAGGAATTCAGGAGGTAACTCAGATTCTCCGCTCTGCATTTAATTTGAAGTAACTTGGTGATCTTTCTTATTTTATGGGCCTTGAAATTCATCGTTCTCCGGCTGGAATTCATATCGGCCAACGCAAGTATGTCCTTGATTAACTTGAAGAAGCACAGATGGATGACTGTACTCCTTGTGCTACTCCGATGGAACAGAATCTAAAGCTTCGACAAGGTGATGGTGACTTACTTTTGAATGGTTCACTGTATCGTAGTATAGTTGGCAGTTTGATCTACTTAACTCATACCCGCCCGGATATCTCCTATGTTGTCCAGGTCGTTAGTCAGTTCATGTCTGCACCTCGTACCCCTCACCGGACTGCGGTCCAACGCATCTTGCGGTATCCACGTGGCAGTCAGGATGTTGGCTTAATGTTTCCCTCAGGAGGGGAGGTGATTCGTGAAGCTTATGTTGATGCAGACTATGCTGGTTGTTTGGATACACGTCGATCTACTTCCGGGGGGTGTGAAAGTGGGTCATTCGTTTATTTCGTGGCGGTGTAAGTAGGATCGTGTATCTAAATGTCGATAGAGGCTGAATACCGTTCCATGAGTGAGGTTACTTCTGAGATCACTTGGTTGTGTCGATTATTAGCAGAGTTGGGTGTTCAGTTGAGTGCTCATGTTTGGTTGTTTGTGGACAACACGAATGCTATTCATATTGTTACCAAACCCTTCCTGCATGACAGGACGAAACACATAGAGGTTCACGTCCACTACATTCGTCAGCTTAACACAGAAGGCTCAGTGGAGTTAGCCTACATTACTTCGGAAGATCAGACCGTTGACCCGTTGACTAAAGCAGTATCGTCTTCACGACATTGGTTTCTAGCACACAAATTGATGTTGCGCCAGCATCATCAATTTGAGGAAGGATGTTAGAAGTTTAAGTACTTATTTGTAATTAACCTTTTAGGGTTAGTACTCGGCCAAGTATAAATAGGTTGTATGGCTGAGTTTCAGATGTAACGCATACGTGAACAATAAAAGATATCTCTGCCTTGTGCCGTGGACTAGTCTCAACGATCATCTTTGAGGAAACCACGTAAATCTTGTGTTCTATGTTTATGTTCTCTCGATTCAATTTAGGTTATTGACAAAGAGGAATCAATCTAGTAACAAAAATCATACAATTGACAAGAAACCGGAGGTAAAGAAAGGGTCTTTCTAGCCACTGAATGGGCTATCCTATTGCTAATCCGACCAACAAATTGAACTTGAAAACCACTATTGAGAGCCATCATACGCATAAACTCTTGAATAATTGCACCAACATGTGGTTTGGATGGAACATTTGTTTGAGTATTTGAAATCAATTGACACATACTAAAGTATCCGCTGTTTGGTGCGATATTTCTTCGAAATATATGACTTTTGGATAGGATTGGAAGTAGTGACATTGTTAATGTTTTTATACTCTAATTTGATAAAATATCCATTTAAGCATTTATCCTTCATTTAAAATAGGATAAATAGCACTAGGACACCCGAACTTTTGAAAAATGTTTCATTTCTAGTTCAAACTATTCGTAATGATAAATAGTATCATGAACTATCAAAGTATATTGTTCTTGGATTAATTGTACCATGTGCCTCTTAAGCTTACTATTTTTTGCACGTTAACCACCTAAGTGCATTTTGTTGCGTCTAAACCATTTACGTTAACTTTCGCTTGCATAGTTACCATTTATGTTCCCCCAAACTCACGGTAGGTGTCCAGGCGTAATTTTTCATACCACGTGGGCTATCACATCAGTGGTTGAAGAGTGAGTCACATGTGGGCCACCACAATTTTTATGGGCCCACAAAACCCAAAGAATTCTTGCGTGTTGAACTTCATTCTCCACACTTGATTCCGACAGCCCCCAACCGTCGAGCATCTCGCCCTTTTCAATCTCTACTGCCAGGTACGATGCCTCATTGGGCGCACAATTCAAAATTCAGTGATTGCTCAGGTACTTTTTGCGGGACAGTTTCCTTTCTGATATGATTTTCGACCCTTTGGGAATTGTATGTACCCATCCGTCAAGAGCTTCATTCAATCCAATGAATTTCACATCTTTGGGTATGCAAGGACTGAAATGTCAGATGACTATCTTAGAAGCCGCAGACGCAAGTAAGGTGAGATGGAGAATAGTTAGTATTCCTGCTATTATTTCTCTGTATTTCGAAGGTATTGTTGATCTATTGTTTCGGTGTTATTAAGACCGAGCAGAATCAGCCGGTCGGACCGCTAAAGCCGCCACCCGGCCGTAAAACCGGCCCGAATCAGCCATTTAGCCATTCCGGCTTTCTAGAGCGGTCGGCAAGTGGTCGAGACGGTTAACCGCTCGAGCCGCTCGAACCAGTCGCTCGGTTTCCCCCCTTCCGGCGGGAAAAAACCCTAGCGACCTAATTCACACTTCATCACCTTCGTCTTCTTCACGAACACAGGGAGAAGAGCGGCGCCATCGTCGGCGTCCCCCAGGAAATCAAATGCAAGCTTCGACCAGCAACCCATTCTCGACTTCACTCTCGTCGCATGTTTTTGTCTGTCAAAGCCTCGTGCATTCAAATTCCTCTGCCTCTCTTGGTCTTGTCATTTGCCCCGCTCCGCTGTCCTTGTACCCAGATCGTCAACGACCCACAAGTTAATTCTCTCTATAGTTCAATAAACATAGAGGGATGGAGGTTGATCTAAGAGAAGGATGGAGGAGGAAATTGAAATAGGAATATTGACTCACTTCTACTGTCACCCTAGGAATTGGCCAAGTGTAACCACTTCCTAAAGCGTAGTATAGCGGGTTTAGGTTTAAATGTCAACCCGGGTCCTAGATTTGATGACTACTCGGTGAATTCTTGTTATCTAGCAATTAAACTTTAATGCAAGTCTAAACTACCAAACAAACAAAGCAAGTAAACTGTTGTATTCAGGTTAAGAGAGGTCACCCGGATATGGTTCCCCCTAGACTGCAGTTAAGCCGGATTGCAATTACCAAGTTCAGTTTCTATGATAGTTATGCTGCGGAAGGTTCTTAAACAGCCTGAAGTCTCGACTAAAGGTCTTCAGACCCTCTCAATCTGAGTCTCTAGCGGGCGACTAACCTCCACCAGAGTAAACAGATTGAGGCCCTATGAACAAAACCTCCACTAGCGAAGTGAATCCGGTACAGAA